TTTCTGTATTTTTGTTAATAAAAGTGCTTTTAACGAGTAAATGCCAGTATCTAAATAACTAGTGATTCAACAATCACCACAAACTAACTAACCTTGTTAAATAATGTATACCATAACTACTATATAACCAGGATTATTTCAAAACTTATAACATATAATAATTTCTATACAAACACTAATAATTAAAATGTGAATTAAGTTCACTTATAAAACACACTTGATCAATTTTGAATAACTAATTAAGTCTAAATGTAATCATGGTGTTTAATTTGTTACATAAACAACTAGATTAAAAACTTGACAAAAGGCTTTCTACACAATAAGTCGACACTATTGGCGGTCTCGAAGACGTTCACCGATGAGATCCAATTGGGACTGGCGTTGAGGCCGCCGATGCGGTCGTCACTTATTATGGCCAACACTTTTGTCACACAACTGCCGGACGGCACCGAACGGGGCGACTATATCTCGTTAGACTTGGGCTCAACCAACTTTCGGGTAGTGCTGTCCCGGTTTGGCACCAACTCTAACACTACGACACCGTCTGAACCCGAGTTCAGTGTCAAACACTATACGGTGCCGAAGGAGTTCCGGAGGGGAGAGTCAGCACAAGTAATGCCCTTTTGTTTTCTCCCCAAACAAATCACTAACATTTCAATTACACTATAAAAACCAATAGTTATTCAACTTTTTTGCCGACTGTATCGCCGACTTTGTGGGCACATACCTGCCGGACGCCGCCGCGCATACCATACCCCTGGGCTTTACCTTCTCGTTCCCAATGAAACAACGCTCGATCGACGTGGCAGTGCTCGAAACGTGGACCAAGGACTTTGACTGCCCGGACGCCGTGGGCCGGGACGCCGCCCAACTGCTCCAGGAGGCCATCGACCGGCACCGGCCGGCACTGAACGTACGTCTGGTGGCCATATTGAACGACGCGACGGGCACTTTGGTTCAGGGCGCCCGACTCGACCCCACGGCGGCCGTGGGTCTAATACTGGGCACCGGGAGTAACGCGTGTTATATCGAGCAAATAGATC